TTTTGAATGAATATAACTGAGTTCTAAATTTCTCAGCATTTAAGTCTCTAAAATGTCATGCTGGATTTTTTTGTCATAGCAATGATAAAGATAACACGAATGAACGTAACCTAAATTTTTTTCAGGTTGGCAGGATTAATTAATTCTCCCCAAGGCAAGATTAAGATTAAAATTCTTCTTTGTTTCTTCGAAGTTTACGGACCAGTCATGCGCCAGTTTTTCCCAACGGGCCGTCCTGAACTTTTCACTTTGTATCTTCATTTATTAATCTTCATTTTCAAAACAGGCCAACCATTGCAAATTTAGAAAACGTGACTTCGAATAACCTAACAATAACAAAGTATGCTAAAAAATGAAATGATTGCTGAGCACATGTGCACAGCCTAGCTCCGCAACCACACCTGCGTGACCTTCGGCGCAACGGAGGGCCCAAACACGGTAATTACAGCTGTTAAGCGTCAACATCTTCAAATGAGGTCTACTGCACTTCACTGCGTACAAAACCTTTCCAATTAAAATGAAGCAGGACAGGACTTTTGGAATAGTTTTACTTCAGAATAGAGACCAATAGTGAGTGAAATGGAGGTATTGGATTAAGGTAAGAAACAACTTAAGCCTCGGTTGTTTAAGAACACAGATGCAAACAGTCAAGGCAAATTTATGTTAGTAGGTTTCGCCAATCGCTTACATAAGTTAGGAAAATAATAATTTCTCCGAGCTTAGAGCGAGGCGACTAGGTATAGTCTGTGTTCATTTGCGTATTTACAAGGGTGGAAACAAGATCCAACGAGATTTAACTTGCTGAGTGTCATTTTTCTCTATTTTTCTTAATCCTGGTCGAGAAAGTGGGATGCATTAGTGATTATTCAGTAGTTAGTGTTTAATTTTTTTTAACTTCAATGAAACCCAAGGATATCGAGCACCTCTTTAACGATGTGGTGGCTAGTTGCATTCCATTAGCCCTTTCCCTTGTCTCTGTAGAAGCAAACTTTTGACTTTTCTATTGTCCGGAGAGAAGGCTAATTGGGCATGGAATCAAGCGCAAGGGCAGGAGAAAAACACCTTAACCATTGTAGTCCCTCTGGAGCATCAAAAAGTGTCGCGAATTTAAATGCCTCTTTGTGGGTTGCGACTACTATTTGCATTTAATAAGAGGAATGATGACACCCTGGCTGAAATTCCAGACATGAAGGCGGCCCATTTCTGAGTAAAACGTTTAGTGGCAGACAAGTCGACGAGACATGCACGTGTGCCACTTGCTCATGATTTAACTACAACAGTGGATGAAGGAGAGTTTTACGTGAGTATGCTCCAAGCATTCTTCGTGCGCCGATAATCCTTGTGTTCAGGCTTCCTAGCGTATCGTCTGTGGCTGCCCAAGCCGCGAATTACACGATAGCCCGCGTATTGTCCTCAAAGGCTAAGTTCATGAAGGGGATTGTATATGTGGTATTGATCTCAAATCTCAAACGCCCCACCACTTTGAATGCATAAAAGAAAAGAACCCTCCTTTATCGATTTGGCTACAAGCACATTTCGCCATGGGAGGTCTGGGTGACTATCAAGTGTCGTGATGTAAATTACAGACAGAATGATAAAGATATCACTTGGTGCAAACAGGCAAACCGTTTGCATCGTAAGCACAAGAAAATGATAAGTAATTACACTCTTTTTTTTCATAAGAACGACTAATTTGGGTACTGAGGCTAAACGTTCTAATTTTTTTCTGCGATTTGAGCCTGAAAACGTTTATAATATAATATATTCTCAAGGTTGTGCGGTAAAGTTCGGACGTGAGTTAATTTTCCTGTTAGACCACAGTTTTACATTTTTTTTTACCTTTATTTATACTTATTACAAAAAAACGAACAAAATTATATAGTTCTAAACTGACTCTTAGCCTGGGTATATTCTTCGTATGTTCTTAAAAATTTTGGCTAATCTCTGCCTGAAACAAGGTTCTCAGTATTAAAAAAAAACCAGCGTAAGTGGTAAAGATAATTAAAGAGGTTTCTAATCTTCTTGCTCGATGGCTATAACGAGTTTTATTTCTTGGGTGGGCTTCCGGTTATTCAATGGTATACTTCGGAAGTATAACACTTAAACCATTCATTCATTAATTGCACTTAAATATACTCGTGCGAGTCCCTTTTTCGTCGAACTGTTTCATGAATCCGAACGCCTGATTACTAGCCTATCATAAATGGAGCCACAAACGCTGGAGAACCTGTGAAGGCATACTCAGGATGAATTTGGTGGAACCTAAAAGACCTCATGGACACAATAGACGGGCGTGACTATTTATTGTTCCCTTTTTCGTGAAACAAACAAAACTGTTATTCTTTTCTACCTGTTACAAAAAATAACCCAAAAATCAATAAGGAAATGGTTCTCGGTTTATGATCCAGTTTTATTGAATTGTATTAAATACACTTTTTACGCTTTGGGAAAGAGTAAATTTGCAGAAGAAAAACGGGTCAGTTTTAAGCGTCCTTTCTCGAAGCCGAGCATGCCTTACCTTAAAAAACGCTTGAACGGGAAATGTATCTTGGACGTGAGTTTTTACATGTCTTCCCCTCTGCCTCTAACCTGTCCTTAAGACAGGCTCAAACATTGAGACAACAAAACAATCCAGATTATCCATGCTTAAAATTTCCTTCAGAACCTCCTGAGACAATAACATCCGTATAGAACAATATTTGACTCCTGTTTGCGTATTTATCAAAGTGTTTAAACCTGAAAGTTATATCCGTGCCGGCATAGCTTTCTGCCAGGATTAGTGACAATTACCGAGGTTTCATGTCGCCTATCTCATCAGAGTTTGAAATGGAAGAACGGTAGATTGAACCCACGGAAGACGCCGACCAACCCAATAAACGTAGTGAAAATGGAAGTTCCTTCTACGTGAAAAGAGAAAAAATTGAACAAATGATAAAAAATACAATTACCATCACGTCAACAGCCATGAACAGCTGTTGTTACACCCTTTCTGTACGGTACTGCTTAACTAGAGGCTTAGGGATTCCCTTGTAAAAAAATGTAAAGAGATACGAGTAAAGCGCATTTGTGATGATAAAAAATTCCCTCGTTGGTCTGCAGTTCGGCACACAGATAAAGTAAGGCGCGGTTCGATAGATATTACACTATCGCCCCTCTTTTCTTTCAACCACCGTCTCTTTTGGCTGAATCAAATGTTCTTTCAGCAGTTGTCGTGATGCGTAAATATCGTAGTTTCTGCCTTTGCCTCGAACAGTTTATCTTAACAGTTGCAGTATTGACGGTGTCAGATGGACAAGAGGATTGGTACACAAATTGAATCTAAATTGGGAAAGATTAACCGACGATGGCGCAACATGCGATAGTCCGCAATATGCGGAAAACTTATAAAAACCAAAATTGATTTAATACCCCATTAAATCGTAAGTAAACTTAATCCGATTTAAGCCGAGAATATGGAACGAGCATGATTTCATGTCTTTATCGCATCGAGCGACATCACACTTCAGTACCTACCTCTGAGTACGAATCTTTTTATGCGTTCAGAATTTATCAACTGTTGCTTTGGAATGGAAGCTTTCATGGTTTGTTTTCTTGAAATAGGAGGTTCTCTTAAGCTCTGTCAACCGTGTGATTAATTAGTAGTTTCCATGTATTATAGACGTCAAATCTTTTGTTTACTTTTTGAGTAATGTAATTAACATTTAAATGCGGGGGTCCCTCTTAAAGTTTTGAATATTCAAATGAAAATTTCATCATCCAAAACTCATGGTGTTCTTACCAAATCCTTGGCACTTGTGATCCAAAGAAGATCAACATGGAAGAACCTAGAATTTCCGCATTTTAAGCCTAATGTTCGGGTTACTTAAGGATGTGTTGAAAATCAACGCACGTGATAGGTCAATAAAATCAAGCCAAGACTTGTGAAAGTTCAAAATGCCTTCCCTTTCGGTTCTACCTATTAGAGCTTGTAACACCTTTCATTTTTTCCCTTTTTTCACCCGTTCCCCTCAGTTATTTTCGTTGCCGAAGCCTATCGCAGGCTGACAACGCTAGCATTTGCTGGTAAAAAATTCACTGGAAGTAATCACAAAGCGTGACAGAGTCCCGGGGGTTTGTTATGCGTGGCCTGATTGGTTCAAATTATGGCGGGTAATTTGTTCAAAAAGGGGCACGTGGAAAAAGTGCACACAAAGTATTCGCGCAAAAATCAGTCATTCATTCCGACAGGAGACCTGGTCCCGTGAAGGTCTCGATTGACTGATCAAACGGCTCATCTGTAAAAAGCTTAAACAAAATTTGTATTCTTCTAGCACTACATCGATCAGTCTGCTTTTCGATTGATTTAGTAGATGGCAAGTGAAAGGTTAGGATCGTAAAAAAAGCCGTGATTGTTTATTTTGTGATTGCAAGTTAATTGTAAACCCTCCTCTGTATGCCATATCAACAGGCGAATCGAACTTATTTATTGCTTTGCCCTTGGGCAACTAATCTTTTAGATCCTGAGATTTTTCTTGTCCAGAAAGTGTTTTTTCACAACTCACGATAACTTTTCAGTTCTCACATAGCTGGTTGTAATTATATTTCTAGTGACTGTACAGCGAAAGACCTCCGCCATTTGAGTTTGGAATCTGTCGACGAAGCGAACATACGAAAGAGGAAGGTAAGTATGAAATGTGTTTTCGCTACTTTTGTGCGTAATACAGATTTGACGAAGCTTTCGTTCACTTGTAGAGGGATTCTTGCTCCAGAGGAGCTTCTAGCAAGCGGACGAGAGCGGCACTGCAAGAGAAGGTAAGACAATGTTTTGCTTTCCCGCCATGGACGAAAGCCTCCCGCCATTTTGGACAGTCATTGTTCGGTATGATCGAGAAGTTTGCTTTGAAATCATTTTCTCTGAGCTTAAATTTCGTATTGGTTAAATACGAAAATGTCGTTTGCCTGCTTATTTAATCTTTCGGCGGAATGCGAAGATCGGGAAAATTTCGACAATTACATTCCCCCAATGTGCTAATAAGAACTGCTCATCCGAACAAGACGAAGTGCTAAGTCTTGATAGAGTAGATATTTCATTCATTCTAATTTGCTAGTGAGATATTTCCACTAGATACAAATAAATCGGGAACCACGGTGCTTTCGTGAAAAAGGAACAAAAATGATTCAAGGGATCTACATTCCGGGAGAGACGGAATTTTGATTTGAGTTTCTCTAATTACTACTACTGGCGTGGTTAGTTTACCCCCTCGCTCTTAAACTGGTGGTAGTATTGACGGATTGAGCCAAAATCACAGATATTTGTGATTACGACTTGCTGAGTAACCAGTTACCAATTTATCTGAACTGGTGGTTCTGAGAAAGCGTCTCTCTGACCTAACATGCTTCACTTTATTCTACAACAAAATAGCTTAAGAGATGGACATTCGTGTAATATGCAGGAAATCTTTGCATGATCGTTCACCAAATCTTGTCGCCGCTTAATTAAACTGGTTTTATCTAACTTCGTGTTCAATAGATTTTTTGACTGATTCGTTCTTCTAAGGAGGTAATTTCCTTTGTCTTTGAAAGACCAAAATTGCATGGGTATGATTATTTGTTTCTTTTTAATAATTATATAATTTAAGTGATATTAATTTCTCCTCGTGGGCAAAGGAGTTTAACTACAAAATTTATTAGATGTTAAATGAAAAGTTGTAATATCTCTCGTAGTGTTGTCGATTTCTACTCGAAGCAAAAGAGCAATGATTTTTTTATTCCAACATTCAATGGCAAATTCTTGAAATTTTGTGGTTGCCACATACGAACTGGTGTAATATTTTTGAAAAATTCATCAGTCCATTTCATTTTTTCATGATGGGTTGTTTACTTTAGGTATCACGGTTACTGCAAAAATAATAACAGCTTTCTGTTTGTTCTAGAGGACCACCAGTGTTTATATTATTTGTTCTTAATCTGGTTTTGCAATATGAAATTCAGTTATTCCATAAATTTTATGATATTCATTTCAGTTATATAACAGTTTCCCATTTAAAGAATACATGACATGCTAGATATCCACAAGACTTCAGCATGTTGCAAATGAGCAAAGCATTTTTTCGTTATAGAGTGTTCTGCCACTTTGCACAATTTCTGCTTCAGTGGATAACCTCAGGTTGACCTTGTTATTTTCTATTATTTTAAGCTTTGAGCACAGGGTGAATATGTAAATATTACAAAAAATCCAGCGGTAAATCTTAACTGAAATACTTATCCCTGGGTTCTTTTCTCTTCTATTACGACTTTCAATTTAGTTTCTTTAAAGCCTTTGTATTTTGTTGAAAAAAAATACCCAAAGCTATCTATACAATGAAATTTTGGATTCCTTTGTATGTAGATGTTAAAAAAAAAAAACTGAAAGCAAAAACCAATTAGTCAAGATTGTGTTTCATAGTTGACTTCCACAAATAAAATTTTTAATCTTTACAGAATTGTCAGATAAAGAGATCACCAAAATTTAATCAACAGACAAATACCATTTTTCAACCTTGATTAATTTTTACTGTGTAATATGTCAGATTAAAAAGTAAATACCACTGTCACTTAGTTTTCTTGACCATGTTTGTTTAATTGCCCAACTGAACATAAATAATTGGCTTCAGCACAAGTTACCTTGGAATGGCTTACGCTTGAAATTAAAGGTCAAATAATAAAATATTCAACATACAGAGGAAACCAGTTGATATTGAAGATTAAATGTTAAGAAATCCAGGATGGATTTTAACGAAATCTACATAGGCTGGTGTTTAATATCTTTATTTAAGTGGCTCTTTCTTAGTGTCTGGGAACAGATTTCCACCATCTGTTCCCCTAGATTCTTTATAATTACGTTACTCACCTGACATGCACAGAAAAACGACCATTTTATAGAAAGCAACTTACCCAAGTTGAAAAAAAAATGTTTACTTTGGCTTTAAGGGAAAATAATTCAGTTTTATTTGGCATACTTATTATATAATAAATAAACTAAACATTCTTCCAGATAATTTGCTTAAATATGATATGGGTAACAGAAATCCAGCTTAAACTTTGCCTCGCAGCTGTATAAACCTAACAGTGTTTCATGCAAAAAATATGTGACAGTTTGTGGGTAATCTAGAAAAGAATTAAAAGTCACACAAGTTTCTCTTAAGGGGCACATATTTGAACTAGAGTATAAAGAGAAGTTATTGGCCAGGATATTCTTCCCTTTTTCAATCTGTATCTCTCTCATCTCAGATAGGAATCTACATGTTGGAAACTTTGTCTCTGTTTGATGATGACCCAAATTCATTTTCAAGTCATCATGCTCAATGAGCCATAAATAGTTCATAACTGCATGCCATTGTCAGAGAGTTTTTGTTTTGTTTCTTGGGTATCCCAGCCTATCATTTTGGTATTGCAATATTGTTAATATAAAGAAGGAATTAGTGATTAAATCAGCACTTTTTTGAGCAATACTAGTTGTTTTGGTGTTTCTACACTTTTAAAAGAGATGTATGTTTTTTACTCCTTATTTCAATGTTCCAAAATACACCTAGTTAACATTTTATACCCCTTCTGCCACCCTAAAGTATTTTTAAGGGTTTACACCTACATTTAAACTTTGGAAATATATTTCTACTTTTATTTTAAGAAAAAATATTTTGCAGGTTTCAAATACTATTTTGTCTGAAGATGTCATCAATTATAGTATGATCTACAGCCAATTATTAGCTCCCTATATTTAAGATATTACAGATAACATGCATTCATTTATTCACCTAAAAATGACTGGTAAACTTGTTACCATCATTTCTTCATTTTAGACAACCCAGATGTCTGTGCAACCATTTTGCAGCACTGAGGGAAGCATCAGTGGATTCTCAAGGATTGAAACAAGAAGTCAACGACAATCAAAGGCATTAAAGGAACACACAGCGAGCAACGCTCTCCCCGAGTTTGGGAAATCTAGTAGTTTTACTTTCAGCAATTACTTTATACCGGTTGTCAAAAGTGTGATGCCTCTTCCTGAGCTTGACTGGGCAGATCCCAAAGAAGTGTGGGCAAAAATGCTTGAGAAAGAGAGGAAGTATTCAAGAGACCCTCTATATTTTAGAAAACATTCATTTATTCAGCCAAGGATGCGGGCAATTCTACTGGATTGGCTAACAGAGGTAAATACTTTTAACACTTTCTTTTTATTTTCCTTTTGATAACTATAATGATTGTACATAAGTGTTAAGTGAGAGCCTTGAAGGCATCCAAGCATACATTAGAGGACCCCCCCTACAAAACTTAGTTTTTGAATGAAAGTTTAAGGCAAAGCTGACATGTATAAAGGAGTAGAGGAGGGGGGGGAGTCTGCTTTAAGTAAAAAAATATATATATCTGGTAAAATCACACAACTAAGAAGTTTGAATTAATCCATGGCTGGAGGTGTAAGAATTTGGCCATGTTGTGTGTTGGAGGGAAAGGCTCAAACAGCCACTTACTGTAAACAAAACAAATGAGCGCACTCCAAACAACCCCTGATTACTCCTCTTTACTCATCGCACAAACATGCTCCTTAAAGAGAGAGCAAAGTATTTCACAAATGTGCTGAACAACATTCTAACATTCTTTATCTTTCTTTGTGTCTAGGTTTGTGAAGTTTATAGACTGCACAGGGAAACATATTATTTGGCAGTAGACTTTGTTGATAGATACCTGTCAGTTAAACATGACATTGCCAAGCAAAGACTACAACTTGTTGGAACAACGGCATTGTTTATTGCTGCTAAAATGGAGGTAAGAATTGGTTTCAAACAATTGTTATTATTATTATTTTTCTTTCCAAGAAAGAGGTGCGAGTTAAGTGTGTAATGTGTTTCTTTACACTGTTTTCAATATTTACAGGAAATTTACCCTCCCAAAATAAGTGAATTTGCATATGTCACTGATGGTGCCTGTACAGAAAATGAGATCCTACATGAAGAACTGCTCATGTTAAAGGTAACTAAATGATTTTAATCCCACAAAATTCATGTTAGGGATGCTTCTGTGGTTTCAGTATTATTTATACCATTTCACAAGAGATATAACAGCTAATCAGTTAAGTTAAGTAACCTTTATCAATGTGGTATGGTAAAGTGAAAGTCAATCAGAGTGGAAGAAAGCTTTTTACACTCAATGGTATCAACCCAAACCTTCCCAGCATGCATTTAGGGAGAAGTCTCATTTCTGCTTTCAAACCATTTTGTTTTTGAACTTTGAATGTTTGAACTGCATTCTGATATTAAGTATTAGTTGCTTTATTTTCTATTGCATTTCATGTGTAAAACAGTCATGCAACACTTGGATCAATTTCAGTATCTGAGCAGCCGCACATCTACCTTCCCCTAACCCAATGCTAACCCTAACCTGTTACAATTTGACTGTTGTTGGATCAGGGAAGGGATAGGTGTGCAGTTGGTCAGATACTGACATTGATTCCAAGACTCTCTTGTGGTATACCATGGAATGTTCCACTTGCATGTACTTAGTAAACACACTTTTCACTCATCTATTTATTGCTTTCTTGTCTACAGGGGTTGTGTTGGAATTTAACACCAATCACTGTCAATTCATGGTTAAATATCTATTTACAGTTGTCTTGTGTAACAAGTAAAAACGGTAAAACATCAAACTTCAGCATCCCTAACTACTCACAACCAAGATTTGTTGAAGTTGCACAAGTAGGTCTTCCCTTGCATATTTATTGTCTATTCAATGTGTGATCGGTTGCCTCTTAGTCTTTAACTTTTTCTTTGTTTTAAGTACCTATGCACGTATGCATAGATGCATTTATGTCTTATTAGTGCAGCTGCACACCCACCCAATCCCTAACCCAAAATTAACCTGATATTTTGATACTGACATCAATTCATATTATGCAAGTTGTGTGATGTTTTTGTGAGCCCTGTTGGGGAGGGAAAAATACCTGCATTGAGTAAAATGTATGCTCATAACATAATGTTACAACCACTTAACAGGGGATTTATTCTTCTGCTGCTAAGAATATTCCATTTACTAATATTTCAGCTTTAGGTTTCAAAATACATCCAGTGGTACTATCTGAGAATAGTGTTGATTGCTGCCTTAATTTTATTTCTTTTTCTAGCTTTTAGATCTGTGCATCCTGGATGTGGGTTCACTGCAGTTCTCCTACAGTATTCTAGCTGCGTCAGCTCTTTACCACATGCTTCCAGTTAATGTTGAACAAGTTACAGGTAAGGAACAAAGATCAGCCTTGCAATAACATCCTGTGTTCAGGTAATGGATGATGTAACTGTTGCAAGACAATGATTCCTGCACATAGAGAGGTATTGGCAAAATTGCATTGCAACATATTTGTGATATACAGTAACTACAACTTTGCTCAGTTCTTCAAGAGGCAGTCTTGTATGGACAGGGTGTTGATCAGCCATTGGAGATCAGGGAATTCTCCAGCACCTTAGCTTGTTTAACCCTCTAACTCCCATAAGTGACCAAGAAAGAATTTCTCCTTACAATATCAAAACAATATCAAGCAGACAAGTTATGAGAATAAAGAAAAATATCAGTTAGGGGATTATAAGATGATCCAATACTAAATCCTCTAAACTAACATCACAAGAACTGTATAGGAGATAGTAAGGAGAATTACTAATGAGATCTTGGGAGTTAAAGGGTTAAAATTTTTCACAGAATTCTATGGTGACTTTGATCCATTTTCCCGCTGCTACATTTTTAAAAGAAAACCCTGATGAACTTTTAGCGACTCAAACTCCTTGCAAGCAACAATATGACTTTGTGACCATTGCCAAAGCTCATGAGAAAGGTCAATAATTATTGTGCTCTACTAGTTATTTAAGTTATCTTACATTGAATTCCAGGACATTCACGGGAGGAACTTCACCCATGTATTCAGTGGATGACATCTTTTGCCCACATCATAATGGAAAAAGGAGCAGCGACCATCAGAAGTTTTGAACAAGTTCAACGTGAAGATGCTCACAACATCCAAACTCATGCAGTAGACATAGCATCACTTGTAAGTGAAAACTTAAAAAGATCTTTACATGATGATGGCACTTGTTCATACCTCTACTACTGGCTTAATCCTTTCACCCCTAAGAGTGACTAGCATCTAATTTCTCCCTACCCATTGCCCCTGAATCAAAGTTGAAGGTCATGAGAATACAGGAAATGATCACCAACTAAAGAACCCCTTGATTGTTAACCAAATTCTCCTTGCTGGCTCCTTGGAAAATGTACAGAGAGCAGTGTGGAGAATATGCATATAGATGTTGAAGTGTATAGAGTTCAAGGGAAATATTAGGATCTTAGTGGTCTATAATAGTACTTCAGGTCATCGTATTCTCCATATCGTGACCAGCAGTGGTATTAATAGACCTACCCATGTACAGAAGTCAAACTTGATCATGATCTAAAATCAAGTTTCCATTTCATCAAACCACTGTTGCTCACTTTTGTACACCTCTCAGTGGCTTCCTCCTTTAAATATTAAAAATAAACTATTTGTAAATTTTTGCTTAGAAGGGGCCTGGCCAAAGGTTTCTAGTGTTAAAAGCAAATATAATCAAAATGTGAATTCAAGAAGTTTTCGTCTTTAACCCTTTAACTCCCAGATTAAATTTGTCATTCTTCTTACTGTTAATCGTACAGTTTTCATGTTAGTTCAGAGTATTGATTAATTAGTTGATTCAATTTAGTATTGAATCAACTAATTATCCCCAAATTGATGTTTTTCTTTATTCTCATCACTTGTCTGGTTGATGCTGTATTGGTATTGTAAGGAGAAATTCTGTCTTGGTCACTCATGGGAGTTAAAGGGTTAATAATCAAGGAGGTACCTTAGGAAATTAGTACTGTTATTGTATTTAATTGTAAAATGTCATAATTCCTTTTCAGGATAAAGCTTTAGCTCTTCAAAGCACTCTTGGTAAAGAAACAGCAGAAAACAGGTCAAGATCTCCAAACATCGAATCATTTAAACCACTTACCCCACCAAGCAGCACAAAAAAACCTGCCTTAGACTCTGTCATAATGATAGAATGAAACAAATTAGGTCCATGTTAAACTTTATTCATGCTCTGTTTCATCTTTAGAATACTTTATTAGGGGGTTTTCACAATTTGAGCCCAATATTATGGCACTCTCCTCATGGTGTTAACCCCAAGGAGCCATCAAAATTGAATTCAACACCAATCAGGCAACATTGCTCTATTTAACACAGAAAGACTCGGATCTAAAATTATAAGAAGTGTACTGCAAACAGTGTGAACAATTAATATTTTGCTCCCGGGAATGGAAGTGTTAACCATCAGCTAATTTATTTAAATGAGACATTGGTCACAGAAAAATCTTGGGATAGAGAAGGATGTTCACCAAAATGATATTAGCAATGCAATCTCTACAAAGAGTACTTTTAACTCAGGATTCTTGGAGTATAGAGTTCTATCCATTTTGCATTTTGATGTCAGTTAGTGGAACCTCCCAGATGTTTAATGATCAAGTCTCCTGCTGTGTGTTTTTACCCTCAATTAATATTCTTACCCTTTTTAATTTGTGTGTATGTTGATAGAAACCTTCAAAAGTAACAAATGTTAAGTTACACCAATAGTTGGCAAGTGTGTACCTGCAACTTAAGTCTTTTTTTACATTTTATTATTAGAACTAAACCATATTTTGTATAGTCTAAAAGTATTTTTTAAATTTTAAAGAAGGATTTTTTTTTTAATGATTCTGAAGGGCTGTCCACAATTTTTTTTTCCTTCTTTTAAGTAAAGTAATTTGCATGACAGATCTGTTTTAAAGTGACAAACATAGTAGTAAAAGTAGCTATAAATAGGCAGGGGTCAAAATAAGCTGCTACTTACCTGAAAAAGTTTGACTCCAGCAACATTTTTTTGATGCTATAACTTCTAGAGGGGATTAACATAACATCATTGTTATCCAGGAAAGAGATGAGGAGGATAATCAAACTCACCTTGATAAAACACAGTTAATTTACCAAATGGTTATTAGATCTTGGTAGTT